ATTTGAACTACTGTTATTAATAATGTACGTGTCAAAATCTGATTGGCTTTATCAAGAATTTCACCTGGCAAGGCTACAACTTCAACTGATCTTGACCTCACCTCATAGAAGATCACAATTTTGATTTGCAAACCAAAATTTGCGCCCAACCTACCCCTACAAAAGAGGCGGGCCCACAAAACGTGCGCCGGTTGTAATTTCCTCAACCAGAAAGGGTATTTTGGTCATTCGGTCTCTTCTACGGCTCCCCTTAACTGTTTCGAAGATTTACAGAGACTCTGCACCTCCATTCTTTCACAAGTCAATCCGTGGACATTTTCGCCCTCTAATTTCTCTGTCTGAATTTCTCTCTCTCTCTTTTCGTTGGCCTCCTGAGGATTCGTCTCTGAATTTCTCCATCTGGGTTGGTCGATCTTGATCGAAGTCAAGTTTGTAAGTAAGCATATCACTCTGTTTTCTGCAATTGTTTGTTACATTTTATGTGGCCAAAGTATTGGATCATAAAAAATAAAAAAAAAGTATTGAATCATTGCATTAGTTGTGGGAGTTGTGATTTGGGTACTTTTGCATCGTTAGATCTGTGATAAATTTGTAGAGTTTTGAGTGTTGGGTTTGCTATTAAGCTTTGATTTACTAACATGGCATTACTTGGTTTGATCTGGGATCTGTGAAATGGGTTCTTATCAATGGGGATCAGATTCTGATCTTTTTGTGTTTAATCCAAATGGGTTGGATGATTTGATGTTATTATGTGTTTCTGAATATGCATGATCTCAAAGTTGATGTATTGGGTCTGTTAAGATGTGATAGGCTTTAGTGAATATTTTTGTTATGTGTTGTGATCTTGCTTCTGTTTGATATCGATTCGGGTATGTTTACTTGCTTGTAGGGGAAGGAAAAACATAAAAGAAAAGTTAATGCTTAGTATATAATGAGGTGGTGGTAACTTTTTATGATACTGATGAGTCATTTCTAAGAAATTGGTTGTATAGGATGTACTTGATTTGGTGATTTTGTGCTTTTAATAAAAAAATTAGAAAGTTCATGTGATTTTGGTTGCTCTGTTTTGTTTTAAACTAAGGGGATCCGCCATTTGAACGATCTGTTTCCTGTTGTTTGCAGTGTCGTGATAGCGTCGTTTTACCTAGGGTTAGGGCTTTATCACGACATGGGTTCTCATTGTGGTTATATTTTGGTATGTGTCGTGATAGCTTCGGTTCTCATTGTGGTTTCCTAATGTTTGATCTGTAGAAGTTTCGCCGACATGGGTTCATATACCCCCAAGAACATCCTCATAACTGGGGCTGCTGGCTTTATTGCATCTCATGTTGCCAACCGGCTCATCCGCAGTTACCCTGACTACAACATTGTTGTGCTTGACAAGCTTGACTATTGTTCAAATCTGAAAAACCTTCTTCCCTCGAAGTCATCACCCAATTTCAAGTTTGTTAAGGGGGACATTGGCAGTGCTGACCTTGTCAACTATCTCCTCATCACCGAGTCGATTGATACCATAATGCATTTTGCTGCCCAGACCCATGTCGACAACTCCTTTGGTAACAGCTTTGAGTTCACAAAGAACAACATCTATGGCACCCATGTTCTCCTAGAAGCTTGCAAAGTCACTGGACAAATCAAGAGGTTCATCCATGTCAGCACAGATGAGGTCTATGGTGAGACTGATGAAGATGCTGTTGTGGGAAACCATGAAGCATCTCAACTTCTCCCAACAAATCCATACTCCGCAACAAAAGCGGGAGCAGAAATGCTTGTTATGGCATATGGCAGATCCTATGGATTGCCTGTTATAACGACCCGTGGAAACAATGTCTATGGACCAAATCAATTTCCTGAAAAATTGATTCCGAAGTTTATTCTGTTGGCCATGCAAGGGAAGCCTCTGCCCATTCACGGGGATGGTTCTAACGTGAGAAGCTATCTATATTGCGAGGATGTTGCTGAGGCTTTTGAGCTAATTCTTCACAAAGGAGAGATTGGACATGTGTACAATATTGGAACGAAGAGGGAAAGGAGAGTTATTGATGTGGCCGAAGATATATGCAGACTTTTCTCAATTGACCCAGAGACAAACATCAAGTTTGTTGAAAACAGACCTTTCAATGATCAGAGGTATTTCCTAGATGATGAGAAGCTGAAGATTTTGGGGTGGTCAGAACGAACTCAGTGGCAAGATGGGTTGAAGAAGACTATAGAATGGTACACTCAGAATCCTGATTGGTGGGGTGATGTATCTGGGGCTCTGCTACCTCATCCTCGAATGCTGATGATGCCTGGTGGGATTGAGAGACAATCGGAAGAGTCTGAAGAGGGTAAATCTGAATCTTTTGTCTCAAGTAATCCCCGAATGTTGGTTCCACCTTCCAAAGCTAGTGGCACTCCTCTTAAACCTCCCTATAAGTTCTTGATCTATGGTAGGACTGGCTGGATTGGGGGTGTACTTGGGAAGCTATGTGAAAAACAAGGGATTCCTTATGAATATGGAAAAGGGCGTCTGGAGGATCGCTCATCACTCTTGGCAGATATTCAGAATGTCAAGCCAACCCATGTGTTCAATGCTGCTGGTGTCACTGGTAGACCTAATGTTGATTGGTGCGAATCTCATAAAGCAGAAACAATTCGAGTCAATGTTGCTGGAACCTTGACCTTGGCAGATGTTTGCAGACAGCATGGACTCCTGATGATGAACTTTGCTACTGGGTGTATATTTGAATACGACGCTAAACATCCAGAGGGTTCGGGAATTGGGTTCAAGGAAGAAGACACACCCAATTTCCACGGTTCTTTCTACTCAAAAACCAAGGCCATGGTAAATTTCACTCAGACTTCCTGGTTTTGTTCTCTATTCTTTATTTTCCTCAAGTCTTACGTTTGTTATTTATTTTTAATCAGGTTGAGGAACTCTTGAAAGAATTCGACAATGTCTGCACTCTGAGAGTTCGGATGCCCATCTCATCTGACCTGAACAACCCTCGCAACTTCATCACCAAGATCTCTCGTTATAACAAAGTGGTAAACATTCCTAACAGCATGACCATCTTGGATGAATTACTACCCATTTCCATTGACATGGCGAAGCGGAACTTGAGGGGCATATGGAACTTCACAAACCCTGGCGTCGTGAGCCATAATGAGATCCTGGAGATGTACAAGAAGTACATTGACCCAAAGTTTACATGGGCTAACTTCACGCTCGAAGAGCAAGCCAAGGTTATAGTTGCAGCTCGAAGCAACAATGAAATGGACGCGTCCAAGTTGAAGGAAGAGTTCCCCGAGTTGCTACCAATCAAGGAGTCGCTGATTAAGTATGTCTTTGAACCAAACAAGAAGGTGTAAGCAAATTTCAGTCATAGAGCGCAGTATAACCTTCGACATCCACATTAGTAGGCGATATGCTTAGATTACCTCCATTTAGTTTGATCAATATCACTCATTACTCATTCATACCTTGTCATTGTTTCCTCTATGCCTAGAGGGACCGAGTGTGCTTTCTCTGTTTTCGTCGGTGTATCTTACTTTCCTTGGCGTTCCATTTTACAAAAACTTTCGACGGGTTCGGTTCCCTATGGATATAATTCTGTAAGCTTTTTTGACATTCTGTTCAATGAAGATGTGGAGATGAGGTGTTATAATTATCTTGTTACCAGCTTATATATCCACTGAGTCGTTCATTGCTTGAATCCAAGAGCTAAAAGAAATGAAATCCTGAGAGAAATGGTGTAAATTTGCGCGGTTACACAATGGTAATTATTCTGTTACACTATTTTGGAGGTGAGAAATAAATTTGGAATTTTGACAAAAATCAGAATTTATAAAATTACATGCACCAATTCCCTTATTTGGATTTATAAACATAGAAATTTAGAATTTTGGGTTTAGGGTTACGAAAAAAAAATTTGGAATTTGGGACCTTTAATTCCCAAGTTTATACTCTATGTAAATAGGTGCTATATTTCAATTTCCATGATTGAGAGTTTAAAAGTAACAAATTTTGTATTCAAATCCAATTGTTCTTTTAGATTAACCAGACAAAAAAATTCATAAATTTTAGAAAATAAAATTCTGTCATTTAAAAATTCCTTAATAAACTTAAATTTATTTATCCAAATAGAGCGTTAGATTACAATTGTCACACCAGAAAAAAAAAATTATATATTGAGTAGTTTAAGAGCTTGGGCACTCTCCTCATACAAGTCGGTTTTAAAGGGCAAGTTTCACTCGTGGGTTCTTAACAATTAGTATCGGAGCAAAATTTCACGACTATGCATAGACTCCGTAGAGTTGGGCCTACTTCCCTTACATGCCGTTTTTCAAGGCAAGTTGTGCACTCGAGCTCTTCAACAATTTTTGTCAAGGGAGTGATTTCTGCCTTCAGTTTATACACTCGTTAATTTGTACGTTGATTCTTCCTTGATTTCAAAGTAAAAAGTACATAAAGCCGTCTGCAGCCGTGCACGGTTGAAGAGTGGTGTGCTATGTTTTAGCCCTCCAAAATACATCTTTAGTGCGTTGTCTTGGAGGGATTTTATTAGCATGCCCAAAACACTGCTCGGTATAATAGATGTCATTATACAAGTAATTGGATATTTGAAAAAAAAAAAAATTTCAACCACTTGTATTATGACACTTGGTGTACCGAACGTATTTTGGGCACACTAAAAAATTTCTTAATCATGGCTCTAATTGTTTATTGGATGTACAGAGAATAATAGGAACCTTTCTTACTAAGATATGGGAAGAGATCCTCTCCGGATCTCTCCCTCCAAAGCCATCAAGTGATCCGAACATTTGAAATTTGATCCAACGGCTAAAAACAGTGAACTTAGTAAAAACTTTTAAAAGCTATAATAATTTTTTACCGTTAAATCAAATTTCAAAAACCTGAATCACTTGATCCTGAGCTTTGAAGAGAGATCCGGAGGATCACTTTCCTAAGATATAGCCCCATGTGGGCTCTACAAAAAGTTTGTCGGAGGGTTAAATTTAGCCCACTCGAGAGCAACAAGTCGCAAGCGTTGCTTGCTTACTAGGATACAGACTCTTGTCGAACAGGGATACAGCCCTAAGTCTTTAATCGTCAATGTGGTTTAGACGGTTTAAGTACGTAAACTAACAATAATCTAATACTTCAGCTGAAGCATTATAACTATCTACAGTGCAAACAGCTACCAAGTGAAGCTACACTTTCGAGAAATTCGAGAGCATTATATCTCTGAACCGGAAGATGAAGCGCTTGCAGAAGAGGCACCCGCCAATTCCTTCAGAAACGAGACAACATCATCCGAGGACTGAAGTGTATACCGAGCATTTGTGCGAGTCCGCCCGACAGAGCAAGAGTAGTAGTTCTCCTTCTTTAGATCAAGTACGTTCCACGAAACCTTTTCTGGAGATGGCCATCGTGGATTCGTGGTGTTGTGATTTGCATTTTTCTTCTCATGGTTTGGTAAAGGCGCCCGTTGCGCTTTGCTCTGAGACGATTTTGAGCCGCTTTTGATGGCCGGAGCCTTCAAAGAAGATCGCCTCTCGTTAGGCTTTAGTCCATCAGGTATCTTGGTTCTTGAAAGACTACTTGGATCAGGCGGAAGATCTGGCTCGAAAAAGGTGTACACATCTTCATCCTGTAATGAAAATGAAACAGACGCTTGAATACCACAAGAATGTCATAAATCGATGAAAAAAAGAGGGTTTCGAGTGTTGAACGCGACTCAAATAACTGGGTTGAGAGACGAGAAAACGCATGACTTGCGGAACAAGTTACCTTCCCAAGAAAATGTCCAATACACAGCACATAATCAATGGGGGATGTCATGGATTTACTATGAACTATCTCTCCCAATATACGATCAATTGCTGCACCCTGAATCGAAACAGAAAATTTTCAGAAACGAATAACAAACAAATCATCTGTTGTATGAAAAATATATGCAACAGGCAGAAAAGAGTTCTTAGATTCACCTTTGTCACACCAACTGCTCGAACCTCAACAGACCGGCTACCTTGAACAACATCAACAGAGGCATTAGAAATTGGGCCAGTCCAGAGATGCTGCAGCATATCTCTGGCTTGAAGTCTTCCAAAATCAACATCTACAATTATGATAAGGTGAAAAAGAAACAGAAACAAAAAGTAGGTATGAGAGTAACCAAAAGTTATACTTTCAAAAAACCATCTCCAAGTGAAATCGGGTTCAATGAACCCAATTTCTTTTTCTGGTTAGATGATTGGAAAAAAAGCTAGTACCTGCATATTTATAATTCCACACGAGGGAAGTTTGACGACGTTCATAATGTGATCGCGGTGTTCTCTCTTTGAAATACTCAAAAACATGCTGAAACAATAACATCAGCATTGTAAGTATGAAGGAAAGACAATGCAAGTAAAAGGAATATAACTGAATTCAAGGCTCAAGAGCACCTCCACACTGTTGACCCATTCCATATTCACATGTTCAGGCATTGTTGTCATCCAGTCTCCCTTTGTAAGGCGTAAAAACATCCCGTTTTCAGCTGCCAACCACATGTCAAGCTCCCCAAAGTTCTGTAAAAACACCCTAATTAGAAAAGGGATAAGGTAAGGGTAGTAAAGAACTTAGAAGTGGAAATGGATGAATTACATTATCTAAGACTTTTCTCTCACTCCCACTGAGGACCACAATAGTTGTTGTTGGATCATTGCAGAGTGCTGACAAGGTTTCTTTCAATTCAGGATGCAGTTTAAGTTCCATTTCTTTTATTTGATCACCTCGCCTCTCAGGTGTGTCCACTGATTCAGTTAATGTCGCATTGAATCCCTGAGTTCCAATCACCAAAAAGATCAGAAGGATGAAAGAAAATGCCAACTAGATGTAAAACCATAAAACCTCATTTTAACTACAATGCCAACTAGATGTAAAACCATAACCCTCAATGAGATAGCTGACAACTTCATGTTTCATGGTATCGAAATTGGTGCGAGTCTTGATGTACTATTATCTACTATAAATGTCAAACACTTCCACTAAATGACCGAAACCTATTATTTGGGGAGTGAGATTTGGTGTGTACATAGAGATTTGGTTACCAAGAAGACTATTCTGCAAAGCCTAATTATTATGTGCATCAAGCTTCCAATAATTGACCAAGAATACCATGAAAAAATCCATCAAATTTTGAATACCATGCAGATATATGATATGTAAAGAAAGATTCAATAGAGGTACATGGACATTACTTCTTAACTGGGACATTCCTATGACATACCAGTATGATCAATCGATTATTTGCTTGTAAATAACTTTGAATTGCGTCCTTGTTTGGAAGTGGCGGTGGCACCTGTCTGGTCCGTAATTGCGCCGCTACAACAGTATCGTTCAATTCACTGAAAAATAGTAATATGCATGTCAAGTCTCAGTATACAATCCATCTACTACATTTCGAAAGGGTCAAGGTATCAGAAATTGCATATGCAGAAATGTATCCAACTTCCAGTAAAAAAAACATATCCAAATTTTTATCGGTTTTTTCATTGTCCTCAAATGCTTAAACTGATAGGATGTACAACAACAACATCACCTTTTCCCACTAAGTGGGGTCGAAACTGATAGGGTGTAAAGGGAAAAAAATTTTAACACTCTCAATGTATGCCACTCCCAATCAGTAGGAACCATGTTAAATTATTTTGGTTTACCATCGTCAGACATAGCAAAGAAATAGTTTTGCGCTTCAAGAATTAAACGCATGACACTCAAGCATGCGTACCTTACAAAAGTTTCGGCCCATTCCTGTGCAGTGTGGGCTGTCACGTGCGAAAAATTATGCTTATGTCGCTTCTCTCTTTCTTCAGAGTCCATATTCAATGCTTGAGCAATTGAATTGGCAACTTCTGTGATGTTCCATGGGTTCACTAGAATTGCTCCAGCACCTAAAGACTGTGCGGCACCAGCAAACTACAGAAGGAACAAGAAGTGTCAAAGCAAGAAAAGGCATGAGGTAAAAAGATTACACTCCAGTTTCCATTCCAGCAAATTTATGACACTAGCTTCCACTCGAGTATACAGTTCTAAGACCAAATATTAGATTGTTTTAAAGATGATTATGTATGCTTTTTGAAATCAGATAAACTTTTCGTGCGTCGGATCCAATCCATGTAATATGACAGCCATAAAGACAGAAGATATGTTCATCAAATTGGTAGAAATGAGACGTTGAATGAAGATAAAGCATAAGAAAGCATGCAAGTTTCTAGTTATTACCTCACTCAGAATAAGGACCCCTCTCTTTGCATCCTGGCATGCCACAAACTCATAACTGACAAGATTCATTCCATCCCTCAGGGATGTAACAAGTGCTACATCTGAACAAATTGGAAACAAAAAAAAAAAAAGAGACAGAAGGAGATATCACTAGCTGAAAATATATATATATACATATTTTTTTTTTCTTAGATACTAGCTCAAAAGTTATGTCAAAAAATTATTTGCTCGAAAAAAATTATGGGTCAAAAGAAACAGGGAACCAGAGCCTGAGTATGTAGAATAGTACCAGTTACAGCATATAGTGCACACAATGCATGAAAGTCGAGAGAACGATCCTGCAGACAATAAAAAAATTGTTTAGGAAGTATTACATTCAAATCAAATGTAGTAGGTCTTGAAACTTGAAATAGATGAAAAAACTACCGCTATTGATCATAATGGCGATTAAACTATTACACTGTATCAAATAGTGCTACGCAGGAGAGAGATAATTCCACGACAGATGAACTATAGGTTTTTAACTAACTAATGAACCTTGTTTCATAAATCTAGCATTTCAAATTCAAATTATGCCTGCGAATATGCTATCATCATACAGAAAGTTAACAAAGACAGACCAATAACATGACATCAACATTCTTCATATTAAATTCCACTGAGTGCCAAATATGCCCTTTCAATAATATATCATGGAATAGTTACTTAGGAAACAAGGACATACCAGGTGATGTATTGGGACAGCGATCAAAGTTCCAAATCTGCCATTAATTCTCCCAACAATTTCATGAACCTGGCTTGTAAGTTTTTGATCTGCAGAAATGCAAGATATGTAGTTTATACATCATAATAAAGATAAAACAAAGAAATGAAACGAGTATATAGATCCTACCCTATTATACTCGCAACTAAGAGTACAAAAACCAATTGACAAAGCATCTTAAGGAGGGGGCATACACTCTGGAACATCTGTTCTTGTTGGCACTGCAATTTGCAGCAAAACCACTTTGTCACGCCAAGTTGGGTTTTCCTCAAGAAACTTTTCAAACGCTAGTAACTTTTGAGGAATTCCTTTAATCATATCAAGGCGATCAACACCTAGCATTACCTGAAATGTTAAAAACAATCATCATACCTAGAGAAAAAAGAGGCATAAATTTGGAAATGTTAGTTGTTTTTCCTCACTGAAGACTCTAAACAAAAAAACAACAAAAAGCTTCTAAGGCTTCTATTCCCAAAATCTTTTTCGAAAATGAACTAACTTATGAAGTCCCTTGGAGTAATGATGCCAAAAAATAAAGAAGTTTAACAGAAATAAAGGTCTGTTTGCGTTGCACGAGTGATCGTTGCTACTCTCACTGAAACAACAAAAGAATATGTACCTTTCTCCCAGCGAACCGTTCTTTCAATTCCTTAATGTGATCTTGGACTTTAGGAACCTCAAGTCCACGTATGAAGCGGTCTGAATCTATTCCAATAGGAAACTGAAAATAAAGCACACATAACGTAGCAAGTACAGCTAGAATTAGATTCCAATGCGTGTATATCAGTCAAAATTTTAAACACTAAACTTTGTATAAAAAGATACTAGAAACCTTCAAAGATAAAGTACCAAAAAAATAAAATAAAAAAACAGGTAACAATTAAACAGATACAGACCGCAGCCACTCGAGTAAGCCTCCCTTGATCCTCAACTCCTTCAGGTGTACCCTCTAGTCCAAGAATGCGAGTGCAAGCACTAACAAAGTGCCGTGCATAGTCATAAGTGTGAAAACTGAAAAACAAGACAAAAGTCACAAAACTTTATAGTCGCTATGCGTATTACATTTTTGTGCAAGAAATCACTTCACACAACATCTCAAAGTAGCAAATAGAACTTCAATGAATTTATAGTTAACTAAAGCAGTCAACACTATTCCCGTCCTAGTAATTGGATACCATATTATTGCCTCCTCATTTTGCTAATTGAAATTGAATCACGCTTTAATGGTACAGACCCATTAGATATTCTATTATTTTATGGTTATTCTGGATGATTGTAGCATAATTCAAAAGAGGAACGGAGGCAATGTTCAATGCATAAGATCAACAAAAAGACATCAAAACACGTTATTTCTACATAAATGGGGTTTTCTATTTCTGAAATTTCTGAACCATGTGAAAAACAATAAGCCATATCATGCCTCATGCCAGCAAACTAATGCAGTTGAAGATAGCTTGAGCATAAAAGAAAAAAAATATCACGGCTAGACATAAATATTATGCATCAAGGATGAAAACCAGATAGTGTTAAGAATTTGAGGAATAGAACAAGATGTCATTAGTTTTTGCTGATATTTTTTACGGATGACCTAAATGTCAATTGGTATAGATATTTTAAGGATATGTTTTGGCCTGATATTGCGTGCATATGTCAGTGAAAACATGAAATACTTTCTCAATGGTAGATGCAAGGACAACCAATCTCGATAGATTCGAAAGATATGTCAAGTCTAGTAACAGCATTTCTCAATTATCCAGCGAAGTAAATTGCAAAGAAAAGTAATTACTGGTGCAGAAGGAATAATTACCCAACTAAATCAGCTGCAAGAACTGCACGTAGTAGTTCTGATCGTGAGGGCAATGTCCTATGGATTTCAGAAGAAGGAAAAGGGGTGTGGAGAAACCAACCAACTTTCATTTTACTATCGTAATCCTTCAAGCATTTTGGAAGAAACATAAGATGGTAATCATGGCACCAAACTACGTCACCCTCTTCATAGTGCTCATTAACTACAGCAGCAAACATTTGATTTGCCTTCTTATATGCAGCAAATTGTGACTGGAAACTCCGGGTGGTGGCAAGTCGATCTTCTTGTGGAAGTCCAAGGTAATGGAAAAGGGGCCACAAAATATTGTTGCAATAGCCATTGTAATATTGATGAACAATCTCCTCGTCAAGGAAAACTGGAATACATCTCTGCAAGGAACAAAACAACCATTTTAAAATTTCATGAACATTTACACTGAAAGTTGTATACATCATCAATCAGTGAAAATGAGCTGAATCTATGTCTATGAATGACAAAATTTTGAACCTTATCAGCAAGAGCTCTAGTAAGCGCCTTCTGTCCAATTTCATCCGGCACATTTACCCCGGCCCAACCAATCCACCTTGCCTCAAACTCCTTTACACCTTTGGAAAAAACCATCCGGTACAAATTAGGTTCATCTTTGGAGGTAAAATACCAAATCTTAAAATGAAAAGGATATCAACACAATTGAAAATCTTGTCCCCTGTATTAAAATGATACACACAGGAACACACTTCGATAAAGGATTATCAGTATTTAAAGAAGAGTTAAAACACATACCCAAAAGTGCACTGACCAGACCCCCTGCACTCATCTCCAGAGACCATGAATCTTCACCTCTTCTAATTGCAGAGACAGGTAACCTGTTCGCCACAACCAACAGTCGTTGTCTGCTAGGCCTCCCGTCTTGCTTTTCGTATCCCTCATTAAGTGCCCTTGCAGCTGCAGCCCCTTCCAAGAATCGTTCAACATGGGCAGCATTTGAGTTTTCATCTTCTCTTAACTGCAACTCAGGTTCAAATGTTTCATTCAAGTTCAAGGCCTTGATATTTTTCCTTAGCTCCCTTTCTCTCAAGAGCCGTTCAATTCGAGTTGGTGGGATGTGGGCTGAATTACCGTTGTACTTGTTCCCAGGCATACGTTCTCTCTAGTAATGAACCCTGCCTTCTAACTTTACTAACACAAGCGATCCTCGAACAACTGTGCCCTACATTTCGTTTAAAGCAAACTAAGTCATCAAACATCACCACAGGCCAAACAAAAATCTTCCGCATTTTGGATGCCAAGAGCAAAATTCGTAACACACTTGGTCAGAATATCATAAGAACATCTCTACAGCAGTTCATGATAATCTTGTCACAGAAACAAAAATGACAAGAAGGTCTACAGAAAAATTTAATAAAAATCATCCCAAGAACATGATCCGCAGTAAGAAAAATGGGGTCGACCGCTATCTCCTGGTTTTTTAAAGTAGCAATTTAAAAACTCACATTCATAAAATCAACATGAAAAAGGTTAAAAGCATAAGGCAAAAGAGTAAAAAATAACAGTAACAGGAGATGACAGAGAGAACAAAGCCCACGGCTCAGCTAGTGACGGAGTTCTCTGGTTTTCTCAGCCAAAAATTATGAACATCATTCAAATGAAACAACAGACACCGAAATACGAACATACTGAAACCTTCAGTTTGCTGTAACTGAGAAAGCAATATCATATACTGTTTCTGTTGGCATATTTAATTCTGTCCAAAGAGTTCAAAAGCAGCACAAACAAAACAAGAAGACAAGTAAATAAAAAAAACCCAATTCTTGAATTCTCTCTAGAAACTCACCTGTGACTTTGAGTTTTAATCAAATATGCCTTTGGAGATGGATGTCAACTAAAACACAGTCACTGGTTTAGAGAGAGAGAGAGAGAGAGAGAGAGAGAGAGAGAGAGAGGTGCTAATCTCCAAAATCTGAAAACGTAGTGAGAGAAAAAACGAAAGGAGCAACAAAATCCTCGTGTAAGCTTTTAAGGTACAGAATCCTTACAGCCATGCAGGAGATATCAATGATTATGTTGTAAACAGAAATATTTATACCCGAAAGGAAAGAAAAAGAGATACTTTGCTTAGTTCAGTGGTTTATACAAATGGCATAAATGCTCTGCTATATTAGCAACTAAATTAATTGAGGGCAGTAATTGTTTCTGTTGTGTAATTTTCATCTTTCTCTGTCAATATCTAATCTACTTGTTATATTTGCACTTTTCTATATATAATCCACTGCTATATGTGTAAGTTTGTAAATATAGAAGTATACAAATATCTACCAAGTTTAATGGAATAAAATCATCAAGATTTACGTTATAGTTAACTCGTAATCAAAGATAATCTCAGTTTTTTTTTTTATTCTTCTAGGTTAGAAGATGTGGTTAGGAAACAAAGGATCAAGGCAAAAGGGTAGAGGAAGATATAGATAGGCTTTGACTTAGACTTTGAGTACTTGGAGTTAACGGAAGGTTTGGCGCAAAACCGCGTTTCAGAAATAAATATAGCTGACCCTAATTAGTGGAGTAAATTCTGCATATTTTTAGTAAAAACATTTATGTGTTAATTGTCCTTGTTCTGTTGGAAGACCTTTGGAAAATTAGTGTACAAATTTAAGTGAACCTATACATATATATACTGGAAAGAAACAACTCTCTTATCTTCTCACTCGATATCTATCTCATCCAGAACAAAAATTTGATAAAAACCAAAAACAACTGGAACTCACTCCATTATATTTCCTTTTTCTTTTTCTTTTTCTTTTTTGTTACATCACTTTCCACTTTTTGCGTACGAATTTTTTTTCTGTGGTTTTATTTTATTTTTAACAAATTAAATTAGCACAACCACACAACACGCATTTTAAAAATTTACAGAATAAGTTCCATCCAACTTAATCTCAAACAAAAGATGGTACTTCGAATAAAATAAATATACGATATATTCTCATATTTTTAAATTATATAAATTTAATTCTCCTAAATTTCACTAATTAATTGTACTAAAAATAATTTTACTAATTAATTGTCTCGTCCTCATGAAGTTCAAAATTATTGGGACCTACACGTTACCAATAGCAAAATAACATAATGGGTTCTTCTCTAACACATGTCACATTAATCCAAGGTTTAACCAAAAGTCGAACTCAAATATTAATAAAGAAATGAAATTGTTAGTTGTTTGGAGAAAAAAGAATTAATAAAAATTAAACCTGCATTAAAGTATATATGCATGTTTAATTTTCGTCGTTGCCCTAACATTAACATTTTAAAATTGTGATAGTTTGCTTAGTTCGTCTCGTCCAAGTCTCAAGGAACTAAGGAAGTAATAATACATCAAATGATTGTTAACCTACTTTATTAGAAATAACAACAAAAGTTGACAAGAGTGACAAAGCACATCAATCAAACTGTTGCTACTTGATAGCGACATGACCAACACCCTAGAATACTGGACGATGCACATTTGGGCCTTACAAAATGTTAGTGCTGTCGCATGTTGATGCGTAGATGATTTCTGGCCGATGATCCATGCAAATTAAGCACATCACTAAAATGTCCTTGTAGCGAAATGGCCAATTTTCAAAAATATTGGACCACATAGTTGAGCTTCAGAAAATGTTAGGAGCAATCACTCGTAGACGCATAGCTGATGTACATCACTAAAAAGTTGCTATAAAGACATGACATGCGTCATAGAATAGTGGTCGACTCACGCTTGGGCTTCAAAAAATGTAAGGGCAATTGTGCATGGTCACATGGTTGATTTCTAGCCGGTGATATGAGCAAACAACACTGTTAAACTGTTACTTTCACGACATGACTCATGTCCCAGCATACTGAATTACAAACATTTTGACTTCGAAAAAAAAAAAAAGTTTGGAGCGGTTGTGCCTGGACATGTGACATAATAAAGGAATACAAAATTCTTTCTAAAATACAAGGACCTCCTCCAATTTTATTTTGTAGCGATTTTGATCCTATCTATAAATTGACTACCATTTTGAAAGATTTTGAAAGATTACCCACGAGTTTGACGAAAACAAGAATTTTGACTCAAGTGTTAACTGCTAATTGGTGGAATTTCCATCACTACATATTATGACCCACAAAACATTCCATCGATCTGACTGGGTTGTTTGACATGTGGGTAACTCTCGATGCATAATTAAGTTTGAACTTTGAATAAATGGTCAAACAAATAATTCTCCCTACACATGGACAGGCAATTTTTAGTCGGGAAATGATTCCTTCACGTCTCTCTTTCTACTTTTACACACTCAGTTTAAAACCGTTCATTTGATTTACTTCATTCAAATATAAGAAATAAACAAAAATGTGCGGTAGGAGATAAACGGTGTGTGAAAATCATTTTCTACTAAGACATTAGTAAAATAAAGAAGCCAGAACATGCTAACATGTTATTCATTCATTTGATTCTTGGATTATAAAGGCAAAGGTACATGGCTGCGCATAAAGTTGAAGGACAGAATTGAGGGCGAAGACTTAAAACACTAATTAAGCGCACATTTATGTGGAAATTCTTAACAGGGACATCATTTTAATCAACGACATGTCAGACTTTGACTAAATAGGATGAAAATATAAAGCAGCGACAATGCCTAGGACCACAAGTTGTATTTACCAAACCAAAAAAAGCACCAAACACTTTAGTATTCAAGTACAATGATCTGTTAAGCATTTTAATTAGGGACAGTAAGCACACCCTTAACTGGAGCAGAATTAACGCTAAGTCTAAAAACAAAAGCTACATCAAGACGCCACCCAGGTCAAAATGAGTAGAGGAAGATCTATGAAGACTTTGAAAGAGATTTTAAGAAAACATATAGAGTACGTGGAGCTAACGGATAACTTGGTGCAAAACCGAGCGCAGTGGCATTCTACAATTCATACAGTCGACCTCACTAAATGGGTTAAGGCTTGGTTATTGTTGTAATAACTTGTATCGTAAAATAAGAAGCTCTCTATAGCTGAGAAGCGACCATTGGACCTTAAGCAACCAGAAAAACTTGTACATTTCAACAATGGTTGCGAAAGAGAAAAATTTAGATTTATCTAGCAATCAAAGTGAAAAATTCAGATTTATCTAGCAATCAAAGTGGCATATAAAAATTAGGTAAATAAGAACATATAAACAGCAGGCACTGGAAATCTGAGAGAGAAAAAACCGTAACATTCATTGACTTGTTGAAAAAAGGAGAAAGAAAACCTTTTGGCTTGGAAAAAAAAATATGCCACTGGACTTTTTTAAGTATCTTCTTCACGGAGTATCTTTTGAATGATGATAAAGATTTGCTGGTCCTCCCTCTCTGGCTTTTTCTTATCGAAAAACAAAAGAAAAAGGAAAAGGGGGTGACAAAGAACCACAAACATGTGATTAAATGGAAGGAATAGGCCAATGAAGTTTCAAGGAGGTCATATGATGTGCATGCAACGCTCAGTGCATTGTTTTCTTCCCTGCTACAGCAAGCCAAGTGGAAGAGGGCAAGTTATATGTCACCCGGATATACCACTACATGGCGTCTTGTGCCAATAGAATGAGAACATGCGGATAAAAATTTACACATAATATATGGTCATGTGGACGCCATCGTAACGGTGTGCTGTTCCATACAAGTCCTTATCCAAGCGGCGTTGGTATTATTGTTTTCCTGTGCTGTGCTCAAATCAGATAAGGGGAGGGATCCTTTTACTTTCTACGGTGCAAAGCTCGTGAAAAAACTCACCTAGTCAGAGAATTTGTAGCGAAAAATTTAAATTTATCACACATGCAAACCAAACTTTGGCACCCAGATTTCGGTGGGTCCCATTTTTGGACCAAATTAACCATCCAATCAAGCTAGCAAACTTATTTTGGTTTTGGAGACGGTAAAAAAGATTCACATCATGGTGGAATTTCGGTGGAATCTCATCAAGGGCTGTAAAAAGGTTGAAACTCTAGCAGACAAACTTTTATCGCCTAGTCAGCTACACAAGTGTTTCTTTTTGTATTCAAGTTCGAATCACTAGTCGTGTTTAAATTAGTTTACAGTATCGACGTTTTCTAGCAGATATTTTCTAGCAGACCGTCATATTAAAACATCAAACTACAAAACACTTAATCAAGAACTTGATTAGTGCTAGAGTGATTATTTGTTATGAACTTAGAAGGCATGACGCCGAAAGAAAATCCAATCTGGTTCTGCATAAAATGGTACTTTTCGACACAAGGCGTAAAAATTGTTTTTTGATAACAGTACTGGAAGAGAATATGAGTGACTAGAAGAGCTATAGGCTAAAGCAAATGAAGTTAGTAAGAACTCCTTCCATGGTGGAGGTGGACAGATCACTACCAGCTGTTTACTAACTTCCCTAACAGAATTGTAACTGATCTAACTAAGCCTGCAAGTTGTTGCATTTTTGTAACAGAAAATTCTCCCCAAAAATTTTCTCGGCCTTTCTCATATTTTCTTTGATTTTCCTACACATTTCCCCTATCTTTTTGAATGCTCTGCATTTCACAGTCATATCAAAAAAACAAATACAAACACATACGTACACACACACACGAATATTTGATGGACTATTTCGGAGGTCTGCAAGATTTATTGGCAAATTAAATGGAATTGCTACTAAAATCTATTACTTTTCCAAAATTGATTCGCAATAAATTGAAATTAATATAATATTCTGATTTCTTGAAACTTAATTCACAAGAATCAATACAACTACGACAGAAATCGGATTCGATGAACAACCAAAGATTAAAAGCAATTGCAAACACTGGATCAAGCAAAAAGAAAGATAATTTGCATTCAGAAAGAGAGAGAGAGCTAACCGATTCGTTCGAAAATCGACTGGAGCTTCCGATGAACACTGAGAGGTCTTCGTCGTCCGATTGCGACAGAGAGAGAGAGAGAGAGAGAGAGAGAGAGAGAGATGGAATGTGTTATGGAGAAGTGAGAGAAGGGAAATGCAGTTGGTGGGAATATCTGGGAAGAAATGCGAGCGAGAGAGAGGAGAGAGAGTAATTGGGAGACAGTGGTAGTGTCGTCAGAAAGGCTTTTATGGCGGGAGAGAGAGAG